GACGGGTCGGTGCCCTGCACGGGGAGCAAACGCTGATGGGGTGTCAATAGACGAGTCAGAGTGTCCCCAAGGCCCCCCCCCTCCGCCTTCTGTATGGAGACTCTGAGCCTGGCTCACAGCAAGGGGGCGGAGGGGGGGCAATAACTGCAGCATTCGCGTACTTGCCCTTGCACTGCAGACGAGTCAGAGTGTCCCCAAGGCCCCCCCCCTCCGCCTTCTGTATGGAGACTCTGAGCCTGGCTCACAGCAAGGGGGCGGAGGGGGGGCAATAACTGCAGCATTCGCGTACTTGCCCTTGCACTGCTCCCCTGGCGCTTGCAGGGGAAGGGGGGGGGGCTTTAAAAGGGGCAGCGCTGCCTGGAGGCTGGGGCCAGCCCCTGGGCTGCCTCTTTGAAACACCATGTGCAGCCGGGGCCAGCTGGAGAGTTCTCCTGGGGGGCCCCATGCTCCCCGCAGCCCTTTAAGGTTTGAAGAGTAGTAACAGCAAATGAATCTCAGTGTAACATCCCTGCCCTACTCTACACACACAAACCAGTGGAAAATTCTTCAGCTCATAACGAGAGCAACCCCGATGCCAGGTAAGAATAATGCTGCCTGAGAACTTAGTTGTTCAGTTTAAGACCTTATTTGTTTGCATTTTTTGAGAGGTGATGCTGCCAATCTGGCAATAAAGTGTTAACATTTGGAATCCCAGTGCCTGCTGCCAGGCATTGTGGTCTCACTCACTAGTGACCTATTCCCCCCTCGCTCCCTGCACCTGTGAAAACTCAGACTGGTAGCAAGGGCACAGAAATGCTTATTTTCACGCCATTGTGAAAAGTTAACTCAAGGGTTACTGACAAAAATGTTCCGGTCCATCAGTGCTGCTACCTGTACTTATATACTTCAGTGAATCTTGCCTGGCCTGGCTGTCCTTGCATCACCACAGATAATGCCCCGAGGGTTCCTCCTGATCAGGGTGGAGTGAAGAGGGGAAGGACACACCTGCAAAGGCGCCCCACAGGCACATGGACCCAACATCCTATAGGCCTACAGGGTCAGGGGTTTCCTAAGGCACCCAGAAGCTGGTGCTAGTCCCGTTTATAGGCGTAGGCAGGAGCTGAAGGACTGTGTCCGGTAGAGTGAGCTGGGAGCGAGGACTGGGGCGGGACCCTGGATAGTCTGCTCCTGCTTTGCTTGGGTGTATTAATTGTCTGGCAGATGCAGTGTGGTTTTGCTCAGCCGTATCAACAGGCTGGTCCAATGGCCATTGTCAGTTACTGAGCGAAAATCCTCTCAGGTCTGGGGCTTTTCCTCACAGCTTTTAATTGCAGCATCATCTCCTTTCTGGAAGGGGAGCTGTTGCCCTGAGTCATGCTCCTAGTTGTGGAGGGAGACTAAAGGGTAGAAGGATTAAACCCCTCCCCCCATTTATCCCTTATGTTTCACAATCAAATGGTTCCCTTTTGCACCCAATAATACTGGGGTGCTGCTGAGGCATGTGACTCACCCCTCATTAATGATCATCAGAGCCAAGACCCATTTGGGGACCAGTGTCTCCCAGCTGCTAAGGCAGGGTTGCCCCCCCCAACAGGCTGTTTTACTGCCCCAGATGGAGTGGAGAATAGGGGTGATAATGCTCTCTGCTTCATTGCCCCATTTCCCTGAGCAGAGCGGCCACAGACCCCAGCTCCAGCCCCTTGTGTTCTCCTCCCCTCAGGCCCCACAAGCTCAGGCCCAATGGCTCCAGGGGGGGTAGCTGGCCCCAGAGCTCAGACACAATCTGGGCCTGGGCAGGGACGTGGCTGTTCTGTCCAGCAACAGGGCAGAACTAGGTTGCTCTCTGCTTCATTGCCCCATTTCCCTGAGCAGAGCGGCCACAGACCCCAGCTCCAGCCCCTTGTGTTCTCCTCCCCTCAGGCCCCACAAGCTCAGGCCCAATGGCTCCAGGGGGGGTAGCTGGCCCCAGAGCTCAGACACAATCTGGGCCTGGGCAGGGACGTGGCTGTTCTGTCCAGCAACAGGGCAGAACTAGGTCACCGGGCTTGAGGGCAGAGCCACCCCCCCCACTGAGACTCAGCCCCACTTTGCCCAGACCAGCTGCTGCCCCTCCCCCGCTGCGGTTCCCCCCACTGCCCTGGAGACTCTGGCTCCCTCCCCCCCCCCCGTGTC